GGGGCCCTCCCCGGGCTGCAGGGGGGTCTGTGCTCCCTTGTAACCCCATGTGCAGGGGCACAGCCTGCCCTCACCACGGGCTGAGGGGAACCTCCTCCCCACCCACCTCCTCCCCCTCATTTCCTCACTGACATAGGTGTGTACCTTGTTGTCTCACTCAAATCCCACTCCATTCTCCTTCTACTTCTCACTCCACTATTTCTGATGCTGGTGCTTGTTCTCTTCTGTTTTTCTCTCTGCAGTAGGTTAATTACAGAGTCATTAGTTGGCTGGCTGTGGCCAGAGTGGCCCTGGGTGCTGGGGGGAAGCTTCTAGCAGCTTCTCAAAGGAGCCACCTCTGTAGACCCTCCCCACTACCAAAGCCCCCCACACAGCACTGTCTTACCAGGAGTAAAGAACTGAATTTTCTTTGGATGTTTTTCACAGCTCAGGCTCATTAAACTATATGTACAAAATGAAGGAGGGTTAACTGTTACTAACTTTCCAAGATACAACTGTGAAATGAAACTCATTCACCTTTGAGTAAAAGCTTGTGCAGAAATACATGATATAAAATAGGACTTCGGGTTTATTCTTATTTGGTGGGCTGAGCTTGCCCCCTTTTTTTTTTATAGCTTTGATGTCTTTGCTTTTTTCTTCTCAGGCTTGGTGAATGCTTTTTGTAAATACTGTGTGTTTGTCTCATAGTCATGCATCTCAGTATATGACCTAGATGATGCATATCAAAGACAACACAAACAGGCATAATGCAATATAAATTCCACTGGCAGAAACTGAAGTCATTTACAATTTACTCCCCTTTGCATAGTTCAAAAATGATACCTTGAGTTTTTGATCTGAAAGTGAAAAATGATGAATGTTTTAGTATGAAGAAATATTACTAATGATAGAATAAATTCCTCTGTCTTTTAGGGCATTTTGCTTTTTTGAACTTTAATTACTTAGGTTATGTTTCAATATTAATCCTTGCATTGGAAAGACAATTGTTCATATGACCAGCCAGCTAGAGAAGCACCTGATAATTAAAAGGTCTCTCTGGTACTTGTGCTAATGCCTTGCAGTCATTGTCAGAAGAGAAAAACAAGTAATGAGGCCTGTTAACTTGTCAAGTTTCCTCAACCTTAACCAGAAGGAATTTTTTAATGTTTTATTTTGACTTCATTACATTACCCTAAATGGCTTCCCTTGAAGTATGTTTTCTTCAGCTGAGGCATAGTGTTTTCTGTTCTGCTTTGTATTTTAATTGCAGCTATAATGCTTTTTGTGGTTTAAGGCTAACACTTCAAATGAGATGTCTGAATTGTTGTATACAAGTGTATCAAGATCAGCAGTTGATTTCCTTGAACATTTTATCTCCAGAAAAAACTTTCAGGTCATCCCAACATCGTCCAGTTTTGCTCTGCTGCATCTATAGGAAAAGAAGAATCAGACACAGGACAGGGAGAGTTTCTTTTGCTTACAGAGCTGTGTAGAGGTAAACTTCTGTTTCTTTTCCCAGCTGTTTGCATTGCTTCTGACGGCTGTTTTGCACAGGTTGCTTCACAGCTTAGAAGGTTTGAAAGCCTCTTAAAGATCACATAGTTCAGTGAAGCTAGAGTTTAACCTCATCTCTTATAAGGGTCATGTTCTGTGACACTACAGTTCAACCTAATTTTAAATATGGGATAATCATTAAATTATTTGTTTGAGACTCATCAGGGGAAGGAAGAGGTGAAATAGTTCCTTAAAGCACCGTTTCCTTTGGCACCACAGTTAGTGTGGATTTGCCATTTTCAGAATATCCACCTAGTATTACAAATCAAGACTGTAAATCTTCCTTGATGAGTAGTTGTCTATTCATGCCAGGCTTTCAGAATTTGTGGTGTTCTGTGTGTGCTTATGTGATTTTTTTTTTTCTGACTTCCTGCAGGACAGCTGGTGGAATTCTTAAAGAAAGCTGAATCCAAAGGACCTATCTCCTGCGACACAGTTTTGAAGATCTTTTATCAGACTTGTAGAGCAGTGCAGCATATGCATAAACAAAAGCCTCCTATTATCCATAGAGATTTAAAGGTGTGTTAGTGTTTAAATAAAGGCTTAATTTTTAAACAGCAAAGGAGCCTGTTAGGCCGAATCAGTGTTAAGACTGCTGATCAAATATAGTAGACAGTCTTGAGCATAATAGAGCTTACGTGTGTTGCCATGCCAAGACTGCTGCATGTCAGTGAAGTTGAAATGTTTGCATCTCTTCAAACATCTTTTCCTTGTGCTACTACAGAAAAGCAGTATATTGTGGTTTGCTGATTTAGTCTTGAATTAGTTTGCTTTTGATCAAATAACTATTTATGACTTGTGAATTGCAGTTCTGACTGAGCAGGTTTTCTAGATAAAGGAGGCAAAACTGTGAAGGAGAAGAGAAGGTAATGTTGGATTTTCTGTGAAAGATGACATAGAATCATAGAATGTTTAGGGT